TCCTCCAACCTACACAGCCATACAGGTGGTGAGCCCCTACCCTCTGAACCCTCTGAGTGTCTCCTGAAACAGCACCCTATGGCAGCAGGCGTATTGAACCTTCATAGTTCCTTTTGGCAAATGTTTTTCTGTAAAATGCTGCATCTTGTACTTAGCAGGGGTGTATTGTTAAAGTTAGGCGACTAAAATGAGCTGATGGTAGTCATGGTTTAATTGCGACAATGCTGAAACTACTAGAATGAGATGATGAAGAAGAAGGAGGAAGCACTACACACACACAAACACACTCACATGATGTGCTGATTTTAATAGACAGTGAGATCATGGAGGCATCAGATAATTCTTGCCCCGTGTGCCCCTTTGCCCCCTATTCTCTGCCTCCCCTACACACACACAAGCACACACAGTTGCTGCACCATCACCAACCTCTATCTATCCGTCTCTCCCTATCAGCTGCTCCCTGCTGCAGTTGTTTTTAGAGGTCAGAGCTGTTTGTTTGCTTGGAGGCCCGGCGTCTGATAACTTGTGTTGGACTACGCCTCCCCCTCCCGCCTCATCTTAACTTAAGTTATCAGCCGACTCCCCGGCAACTCCAGCCTTGTCTTTTAAAAGGAACACTTCCCCAGGAAATTATAGAGCAATTCTGTGTGTCTGTCATGATGGACAGACAGGGACACTCCGGCAGATTCCATGTCCTCCAGGTTCAAATCCATCTCATGACCTCTGATTTCCATCTCATCCATCTGTGCATTCACTCATTTAGTATAATCTAGCCTTTTTCGGTGTATTGATTGTTTTAAAGGAGCACTTTGCTTTGATGTTCCCATTTATCCAAAAGTTGTTTCCTCCAGCAAGGAAGCAGTGTTGTAGTGAGGACAGAACTTTAAGTCTCCTGTGAGCACTGTACTTTTAGCCATGCTAGCAGCATCAGCCTGGGAGTGGCAGTGTCGTTTGGAAGCTAAAATATGTCAACAGCTGTTGAATATATGCAATGAATCACAAATCTTTTGGTGATCCTTTGACTTTTGTCCTAGTGCCACCACAATATTTTTGTTCATGTGAAATGTCTCAATAAGTGCTGGGTGGATTGCCATGAAATTTAATACAAATCATGTGGCTCAATATAATTTAAACAGACGAGTTATAAAAAAGGTTCACCCCCTCTGCTGTTGTCGACAGAATGAACTTCAGCTCTTGACCTTCATCAGTCACACTTTTAATTTTTCCCACTTTTGTGTTTGACTCAACTCCTGCAAAACTAAGGACATTCCCATAAACCTCAGTTTGTCTTCCCATATATCTCTACTAAAAGCAAATTTTTATTAACTAGTTTTCCCATTTTGTTTTTTGTCATTTGTTCCCTATTCTTTGTCTTCATACTGGGTTTTGTGCTAGCTAAATTAGCATATGTTATGTTAGCATGTTAACATGCTAAATTAGGCTGGTGAAATATTAACACATCAACATTGTCACTCTTAGCATCAGAATGTGTTTGTGCTGTAAAAATATTTCACCCTGGTATAACAGCAGAAATAAGCCCGTCCCAAGAATTTTCTAGAAATGAATAAATGTTGAAATAGGAACACTAAGGTCAAACAAAATAAAGCAATATAACAATTATACAATAAAAGGCATCACAAAATAGCCTAATGGAAATTTAGGACCAAAACCAGAAAACAACACAAATATTTTCAATTTATCAAGTGAAAACTAAAAGAATACAGTTATTTTCTCCAGTTTTTGTAGAATTACTCATTTATTAAATATTTCCAAATATTTCCCTGTTGGAATCCAGAGCCTCCTCCAGCTCAGCACAGTCACCCGGCATTTCTCGTCTGCAACTGCAACCGTCCGTGTGGCCACAGGAGGAAAGAAAGCTGAAAAAACTGTGATAAAATTACTCCCCCAGCACTGAATCAAGCCCAGCAGGGAGGGGAGCATGTATCAACTACCTGATTGAGCAACATGGAGAAAATGAGACAAGCAAAGGGGTCAGTTTTCTTTGGGAGTAGGAAGGAAAAACCGAGGAGAAAGAACGGGAGGGTATGAACAGGGGGTTTGTAAGAGGGATAAGCTGTGGACATATGTGTGTGTTGGGGGGATGTGGGAGGGAGTGCGAGGTTAAAGTCACAGATTTTAAATCAGTTCTTTGGTCTTTAATGGGTGCAACAGAAGTGCAGTGTGAGCAAGCAGAACAAAGAGGGCAGCAGTGGCCTCGACCAATTAACATAGCTGTGGCCTTTATGAGCCGTCTGGACCCGCCCCTTCAGTCACACCTCGTGAAAGTCACAAACCTCAATTCTTGCAACCCATAACTGTCATTATAATCCCGTTAAAAACAACCCACTTAACAATTTACAGTGAACAGGAGACCAAGTTAGTAGGAGACAGGAGGGATCGCATCTGCTGGAATGCAAACTAGACTACACAAATGGTAACCGAGTGAGGGGAGGGCGAGGCCATTACTACACAAATGGTATAGTCTGTTGGGAGTGAACTGATTAAATATGACATTAGTGACTTCATAAGTTTAGCAACCAAACTGAACAACAGATTAAGTCTGCATGTAAAGGCAGACATTTAGCTGACTACACAGGAGCCTTTGAGTCTGTGAATAAAATATCAAATCCTCACATTTCTTACTGAGATTTATTGGCAGGTGGTGGATAAAATAACAGAAAGGTGGTGTCAACAGGAATGCAACTGTTGAAATAACTAGCATGGTTATATGTGTATGAAAGAGCTCTAGTTCTTATTTAAAGAAAACAGTAAATTCTTTGAAAGAAGAGCTCAGTTTAAACCAAACTAAACATTTATTTATTAATGGAAACTTTATTTTCCACAAGTTGACTAGTATGTTTGCCTTCAGACAATTTTTTAAACATAATCTGATTTAGGGAAAAGTCACATTTATATGCAGTAGATTGTTTGAATGACGTGTCTAACAGGACCAGGACAAGGTGAGGCATGACATGAGGTACTGCGGGTTACCAGTCTGGCCCCGTGACCCCACATAACCTTGGATATCCAAGGCTGTGGGCTGCTTGTTGAAAGAGTGGCTCCCTCTAGTGGAGCTGTTGTGTTTAGCTGCTAAAGGGACTCTCCATGCCCTTCTGTTGCTGTGTGCTTTTCATATTTTACACAGTTGGTAATTGATTTGTATATGCTGTATTTTTACCTTATAACAACTTTCTATTTAAATACACACAAAAACCATCATGCAGTTGAGGCTTTAGTACATTTTATTTACAGTGAATCAATAACTAACAAAGGTCAACGTGTTAAATATGACATTAGCAAGCTAACAAAAAAACTAATGCTGCACTCTAAAGAAAACAAAAAAATCAGTTTATGTTTCTACATAGGCATGTAAGTTTAATTCATTTGAGTTTGTTCAGATTAATAAATGATATCAATCCCAGATCTCTGGAAAAAAACAAAACAAAATTTTAAAGCAAACATATACAACATCTTTAAAGCTTGCCGGATGATAAACACGTGCTGTAGGACTGATTATCAAGCCAAAGAGGCAAAGATTAATGGACAGAGTTCACATTTTCTTATTTTTACATCCATATTTGCATCACAATCATTAGTCTTGGCCACGCTGGCTTCCAGAGGATTCCGTCCTGAAGCAGCTGCATTTTAAGAAATGGGGACAAACCTCTTTTTGTGCAGAAATGATTTCTTAGCTGAATCTGAAGCTAATTTCAGGTTTTAGCAGACTGTTGGACAGATCACATCAGTATCTTCCAAAGTTACACAGGTTTTAGTAGAAAACAACCCCTTTGTGTTACTGTTCCTGCAGTACATCAAGGAAACAGATATTTCCCATTAAAACGAGTGTAACCTGATGTGTCCAACACAGACTGCTGAGGCCTCATAGTTAGATTTTTTCATTTGATTATTTCTTTAAAAATTTGTGATGGGTGAAAAGTAAAGATTTTTTTTTCGGGGTCAGTATGAGGAACAATTATATTAGTTATTTTTTTAATGAAATTCAAAAACATTATATCTCAGATTAATAAAAAAAAATGTTATTCTGAATCCCATCAATCAATGAGTATTTACATCAGCAGTTAGTGTAAAATGTTTTTGTTTTCGGGGGAAATCAAAGACTCTGGTTATAATACGTTTAAAAAAACACCTTCAACTTCTAATATTTTTATAATGCTGGACGTTTATTTGTTAACAGATTTATTATAATTCCACATTTATGGGTGGAGTTTTTCAGTTTACTCCACCAGATGTTAGTAACGTCCTAGTTGGCAGGCTGTGGTTTACTGAAATACGCACCAGCCCCGGTGGTGATGACGAGTGAGGAGAGAGGTCATGTGTTTTTGGCGCCGACCAGAACAATCTCGAGGTTTCTTTTCTTCATTTCTCTGGACATCTGACACCAGGTGCAGGCTACACAGAAAGTCGCGTATACACAGTCCTTACACATGGTGCCCTGTAGACAGAATGCAGTGATAACAGGTCAGCAGGTGAACAGCCAGATCAGTGTTTGTTTTATTTGTCTCCATTTCTGAGTGAGATTTTTTCTTAGTTTATCAGTAAGGATGATAATAACAGAAATAACCTTATGAAATCTTTCACGCAAAGACTAATGTGCATGATTTAAAGTCCTAATAGTGGAAATTATTTTAATCTTCATGCTGCAACACGTCCTTTAATCCAACAAAATAGGGTATGTCATTCAAAATGATAGGCAATTAATTTGTCAAATTATTGTAGGCTTCAGTCTCCCCATGAAAGACCACCAAGAATAGATTGTGCCTT